GTCCTCGACTTACAACCGGTTTAGTCCTCGACTTACAACCGGTTTAGTCCTCGACTTACAACCGGTTTAGTCCTCGACTTACGACCGGTTGGGGGTTGCGGCATTAAAAAGGTTGAGAACCACTGATCTAGAGTCATCTCTAGACAAAATGGGCACCACATAAATCAATCAAACAAACAAACAGTTAAATAAAATGTAATCTTTGATCATCAGGATTTAGACACCAGTTTGGGACAGAAGCTGTATTGTGCTGACCTACACTGGGGAGTACAAACATACTCATTTTATTAGACCTTTAGTGACCTTTGATAGCACTGTACTAGTTTCAAGTTTGTTTTCAAATGCAATATGGTGGTTCTTATCATAAATCCCTATATGACTGGGAATCTGCTATCTTCAAGACTGCCTTTTCTGACCAGAACCTGTATGTCCATACCTACAGAATGTTTTCTGAAGGCACCCACCTATAAGACCTTCAGCCAGAGGGAGCAAAGAACTTTTTTGCGGTCCTCTCTTTTCTACCCAAAGCAAGAATAGTCCTTTTCCAATACAAAAGATAGCTAAATCCTGGTTATTTCAGAAGGTCTTTGAAGATTGCTCACTAGACAGGTACATATTAAGATCATGAATGATGGATTAGCTTACTCCTAGCACATATAATTGATATAGTATAAATGTATATTGCTGATGACGATGATGTTATCCCTTCAGTCATCTCTTTTTCTTGGCGAATCTATGGGCCAGGTCTCTCCACATCTTCCGATCTTGCACTATTTCGTTGAGTTTTTCTATGCTCTGGCTGATGTCAGCTTTATAGTGTCCAGCCACCATGTTCTTTGATGGCCTGGTTTCCTTTTACTGCTAACTCTTCCAAACATAATTGATTTCTCCAGTGATATGGCCAACGTAACTGAGACATATATTGCTATGTTCATATGTTACATTTATATATTATTTGTATAAGCTGGTTTTTATATTTGCAGGTGTAGATGGATTAGAGTCAGTTGGTTAAAGATGGTATGCTGAGGCAGTGTAGAAGTCATATAATAAATAATTTTTGCCTGCCATTAAAGGCAGAGCTTTCAACTCTTCACCCTACATCTCCCTCTCTTCCACAGCTGATAGCCAGGTTGATAAGTCAGAGGCGTGGGAGAAGGGACACAGAGTGGCATGAGAGAAGACACCTCTAATACTTCTTACTACTTTTCCTCCAACCTCATGACCTATCAGCCAAGTTACTGCTTAACATGGATTTACTATTCTTTCAAAACAGCTTATGTTCAGAAATGCTCTAACCAGTGTTTCTCAACCTTGACAATTTTAAGGCGTGTGGACTTCAACTCCCAGAATTCCACAGCCAGCAATGCTGGCTGTGGAATTCTGGGAGTTGAAGTCCACACGCCTTAAAATTGTCAAAGTTGAGAAACACTGTGTGACCAGTCACATGTGCAGAACATTCCATATTTGTCAACTTCACAGGTAGATAGATTTACGTGATCATACATACTTAACAGAATAACAAAGTTAGAAGGGACCTTGGAGGTCTTCTAGTCCCAACCCCCTGCTGTGGCAGGAAACTCTATACCATTTCAGATAGATGGTTGCCCAATCTCTTCTTGAAAACTTCCAGTGTGGAGCACCCACAACTTGTGGAAGCAAGTCGTTACTGATTAATTGTTTTACCTAATCAAGAAGACAAATAGACCCCCACCCACCCATTTTAAGGATTTAGTTTGATGTTCTCTTCCTTCCCGGCAAGGTGATTTTTAGTGGGAAGGAAACAACCCAAGAAAAATCCATCAGTCAATTTCCTTATTTTGTCCAGGGGTTAAAAATGCGAGAACAACAATCTGACTGTCTCTCCACATGTTATCCTCAGTGAAGCATGCAAACCAGCATCTGCATTTCCTGCATCGGATAAGGAGAGCACATCTTTCTCCTTCTGTCCTAGCCACTTTTTACAGAGGCACAACTGAAAGCATTTTAACAAACTGCATCACTGTCTGGTTTGGTGGCAGCAATGCCTCAGATAGAAAGCACTTTGTGCTTCAGCTCAAAGCATTGTTAGAGACCTCACACATCCACTTTACAGTCTGTTTCTGTTGCTCCCCTCTGGGAGAAGGCTTCAAAATATTTCTAGCAGGACTACCTGATTCTGTAATAGCTTTGTTCCCTATGCCAGAGGTCCCCAACCTTTTTGGGCACGATTCCATGGAGAGAGGTTTTTCTGCGGACTGTGTGGTTTTGTGTGCTGCCTGCATCCCGTGGATAGGGCTTTGCTTGTTTGTGTGGACCGGTTGCTGGTATGCTGCGGCCTGATACTGATCCATGGACCGGGGGTTGGGGACCCCGGCCCTAAGCCATCCATCTGGTAAATTCACAAAATTCATTTTTCTCACCATAACCCGAACTGGACTGTTGTTTCTCTGTGTCATATATGTGGGTATATGCATAATTCTATATTTATTTATTTTTGTCATATTTATGTAGTGTATATCGGAGGTGGTGACCCTTTGAGAGCTGAATGCAACAAAATTTCATTTTAATGTAGGCAGAATAGAACAGAACAGAATAGAACCGGAAGGGGCCTTGGAGGTCTTCTAGTCCAGCCCCCTGCTCAAGCAGGAGAACTTATACCATCTCAGACAAATGACTGTCTAACCTCTTCTTAAAAATCTCCAGTGATGGAACGCCCACGATTTCTGGACGCAAGCTATTCCACTGGTTAATTGTCCTCACTGTCAGAAAGTTACTTTTTAATTCCAGGTTGCTTCTCTCTTTGATCAGTTTCCAACTATTGTTTCTTGTCCTGCCCTCTGGTGCTTTGGAGAATAACGTGGCCCCCTCTTCTTTGTGGCAGCCCCTCAAATACTGGAACACTGCTATCATGTCTCCCCTATTTCTTCTTTTCTTTAGACTAATGTACATTCAAAGTGACAATAAAGTTATTATTCTATTCTATTCTAGTCTCCCATTCTTCATTCTTGGCCAATAGGGCAAAGCAATTTATTCCTTAGTTCAAGGATGGACTGCATTGTAATACAGCTATCTCACTGTACAGTGAAGAAGTAATAATCCAGTGCTAACTAGAGTATTAAAGTTCGGGTGGTAGATTGCCAGTAGATCTTTGGAAAAAAATACTACAAATCTATTGAACAATTAATGATGTTTCAGTACAAAACTCAAAAAGAATCATATAAATTTAACTACACACAATATTATATATTTAAGTATACCCAGAAATTTTAATCATCTGCTTTGCAAAGATACAATATTGGGGGTATTTTGCAATTTAATTTTCCTCACAAATTTTATTATGGCAGTGCTGTTACTGCCATCTACAGACAAAATGTGTTCTCAAGGACATGTTGCATAAATATCTTGGCATAATGTTTGAATGGCTAAGACATTTTTTTTATTCATCTATGCAATTTACTTAGAAATCACCTTGAACCCAAGAAGCATAAATATTCAGTTTTTTGTCAGTGAATTTATCCTCAACATAAACCTGTGAGAGACTCTTGAAAACATCATTGAACTGCATCTCCCAAAATCCTCTACAACTGCTGGTTAAGGACCTTCTGGGAATTGAAGTTGCAAGGGATTAGACGTTTTCTCAATCTTTATCCTAAACTACAAAGATTAATAACAGTTGAGAACATCGAACTTTTCAGTTGTTGAAGCCCATAACACTTGCAGTCCTTAAAGATTATGGTGATTTAAATGGGATCTTATAGCAACTGATTTCTAAAACATCTGGGGACAGTACCCAAACACCCACCCAATGGAAATGAGCAAGGCAAAGAGGTTCCTTCCATGAAATTCTCCACAAACCTAATTCTAATTTTGTTTAAGGGCTGTCAGATATGGAAATGAAACCATATCCATCTGGGTGGGTAATTTGAATACCATCCAGATGTTTCTGAATTCAGTTTAAATCTTTGTCTTCAAGAGGAATGTGTAGCTTTTGTAGCTCAGATCTAATAGTCCCAATTTTAGCTAGGAATTCTGTGTCAAATGCTAGGCTGCCTCATTATGGCTCTCTCTCTCTCTCTCTCTCTGTGTGTGTGTGTGTGTGTGTTAATGCTGCAAGAAATGAATGAAAAATACTGGGAGCATATATATACCAAAATAATATGATCTCACAGGGTCACCTAAGGTGTGAAGGTCAGCCCAGCTGCCCAGCTAAAGCAAACTGGCACCTTTATTGACCAGCAGCAACATAGGAAGATGCTGGGCATCGCTTTGCTAACAATACCAAAGGCATCATTTCATATGGCACAGGAGAGGATAATAGGGCAAACCACTTCTATTTTACTAGGTAAACCATACAGATATAAACTATAAAGTGATTGTTGATATTGCGCAAATAATTATCTCCTCTAAGTACATTTGCATAGTATCTTATGGGGAACATATATTTATTTAGCCAGAAGACTAGCTGACTACAATTAAAATTTTATTCAACCATAATATTACAGGATAGATAGTGTAGGATATTTATAGTTTCTTAGAAACGCGTATTTTAGAAACAAACTTCTCCTATGGGTAAAGAATGATTTGCTAAAAGCGCTTCCCTTTTCTCTTCTATGTACTGGCTCTGCTTCTCAGGCTTGCCCTTCTCTCCCCCGCTGGTCTGTGAAGCGCCTTCCCTGGATTCCCTATTTCTGTGCAGGTTCTGCCCATTTTGCTCTTAAGGAAGTATTTAGTTAACTCTTTCATTATATTCTATACTTATAGCAATCTTTCGTTTCTTTACCTAGTTGGGCCTAAGAAAACCAACAAAGTCTCCAAAAGTTGTCACTCTACCCCAGGGGTAGTCAACCTTGGCTCTTTTATGACTCGTGGACTTCAACTCCCAGAATTCCTGAGCCAGCACAGCTGGCTCAGGAATTCTGGGAGTTGAAGTCCACGAGTCATAAAAGAGCCAAGGTTGACTACCCCTGCTCTACACTTTGTCTTATCTCTATGTTCTTTGCTCTCGCTTTCGCTCTCTCTCTCTCTCAGCCCGTCTTGTCTGGCTGGCCGCGAAGGTGGTTGCGAAGATGTTCTCCGTGCTGCCCAAAGTGGAGAAGCTGTCGGCACGGGTGATCCGCGTCCTGGGCTGTAACCCCGGGCCTATGACGCTGCAGGGGACCAACACCTACTTGGTGGGAACCGGGCCCAGGTAGGTGGGAAGCTGCTCGGGCGAGGGACAGACGCGGCGGCCGGTGTATTCCCTGGGGTCTGCTGGGCAACGCGCTTCCTTGGCGTGAGTTTTCCCTTCCCTTTAGCAAAGCCAGGCTCGAAGGCTACCCGGGAATTCGTATTTTGACCCCCCTTGCTTTTCACGCGCTGCTCTGAGTATTATTAATTCATACGATTTCTCTTTATTGTACAAGTTGTACTGAGACGGAAGAAGGCGGGGCCTAGATGAAATAACAAACATTTTTTTTTATAGCTTCACACACACACACCCCAAAAAATCCATAAACATTTGAGGGCAGAGGAAACATAGCTAACCGGATTATTATATGTATGCACTTAAAGTCGCCTTTAGACCAGATGGACGGCACACAAATCTAGTAAGTAAATAAATGTAAAAGCCATTGATGCAACCTAGCAGTTTTGCAATGCGACCTTCTCTATTCAGAAATCCTTTTTTAAGTCCAGGGTCTTAGTCACCTAGAAGTGCAGGCTTAGGACTCTTCCATTGCTGTATTAAAGTGCTGTTCTCTGGTCATTAAGCTCACAGAAATTTGCAAACATCTGTTCTGCTTCATTGACAAAACCACTAAGGCTTAGCTGTGCTGTTTGCAGGACGAGTTAAGAAAAACACTCTACCTTTCCCTTCCCATAGAGTAACGTTTCTCAAAGTTGACAACTTTTAAGATTTGTGGGCCAGCTTTGTTATAAACATGTTTGTATTGTTTTTAATCACTTTTGTTTTGCTATTCCCTTTCCCTTTTCCCCTTGTTGTTAGTTGATGTTTAATATTTGACTTTGAAATGTAATAACTATTATTCTATTTACTGGACAAGTAAGGGCAGATTCTTTTAGTCACCTGTCAAGTTCCTCAACTAAGAGATTGCAGGCACAGAAAAGCTGCACATCTTTGATCAGTCAGTTGGGCTGACTCTTGAAATGGTGCTTTACCATGTCAGCAAATACCATGGTTCACAGATTACCGATGTAGAAGAGAAGTCATGTTTACAAATACCCGAAGTGACGGTTCAAGATAGGGAGAAGGAGTTATGAAGTGCATGGGGGGGGGGCACTTCACTCCACACACCTCCTATTCCACATTCATCGGAGGAATGGAATAAAACGAGAAGGAATAATTAATAACATGCGAGCTTCATCCTAAATTACAGGTAGTCTTCGATTTACAACCATTCATTTAATGACCATTTTAAGTTACAACAGCACTGAAAAAAGTGACTTGTGACTGTTTTTCACACTAACAACCATTGTCACATCACTGTGGTCATGTGATCAAAATTCAGATGATTGGCAACTGGTTCATATTTATGACAGCAATCTCAGGCACAAATGCCATTTAAAAACAGCTAGACATCATGATGCAGTTAGAGAGATCTGGCGATGATTGCTATCTAGGGCATGTGTCTGGTTCTTCTACACAGCTCTGTCTTGAATCTTGATTATTACAGTTTAGTTCTCCTCTTAGGCAATATAAGTTTTACTTGGAATCTCGTTTAGCTTGTCACTTTTTCTTTTGCTCTTGGCAAAAGATTTTTCCCCTTCTGTGGACAAATTTCTCTTTATTACATTTTTATTGGATCATCTTTGATCCATTTTATTATAAAGTACCATTTCTTTTGTTCACCTGATTAGATTTCTGCTCCAGTGGATTTTTTTTCACCATTATCTCTCTTCTCATAGGCTTATTAGCTGTGTAGTACAGTATTATGAAATTAAAAGAGACTCCTTTGCAACAGCATCCCGCCTGAGATGTGTATGGCTCCAAACTTTATTGTGTTTAGAAAGGCAATGGAATCTCGCTCTTCCAGCATACTTTAAAAGCAGTACTTAAATGTTTTTCTTTTGGGTATTTGAACAAGTGTACTTATTTTTCCTCGCTGTCAAGTGACTCTGGGTGGCTATTGTAAATTTTTTTATATAAAATAACGCATGTAAGCTGCTCAGAGACAACTGAAAAGGCATATATGACCAGTTTGATTTTTGGTTTATTGATTTGCATCTTATATAATTTTCTTTAGGATTTCAAATTACACAAAAGGAATGGGATATATAAATAGAACTAGAATGATAGGGTTGGACGGGACTTCGGATGTCTTCTAGTCCAGCACCCTGCTCATGGCAGGAGTTTTATACTATCTCAGGCAAATGGTTGTCCAAGCAATTTTTTAAAACCTCCAGCATCCACACCCTTAGGAAGCAAGCTGTTCCATTGATTAATTGTTTTTATATTTCTTTGCATGACACGTTACACTTTTTTAGGTTGTTAGCATCATTTTTTTTAATTAATTAGCTCTTTCTTGGCCTAATCTGGTTTTATTATAGAAGGATCCTAATAGATACCGGAGAGCCACGTATCCCTGAATATATAAGCTGTTTGAAACAAACACTTCATGAATTCAACATTTCCATCCAGGAAATTTTAGTAACTCATTGGCACCATGATCATACTGGAGGCATATCAGATATTTGTGAAAAGATTCCAGCTGGTAAGTATTTTCTGTAGTTTTTAAAATTTGTATACTTTATGTACAAAGCAGGTTAGAGTTATATTGAAAAAGTTATATAGTAGATAGACAAAGGATGTTAGAAACATTGCACTTAAATGCTTGTTAACAGACACGGTGGGAAATAATTAAATTTGAGAAACAGCTTCTGACAGAACTTTCCCAAGCACCAATTGTAAGTATACTTAGCCAAAATTAAAGGTAGCAAAAATCAGGTACAAATAATCCTCAACAACCATTTGTTTAGCAACCATCCAAAATTATGAGCACTGAAAAAGTGACTTGCAACCGGTCTTCGTACTTATAACTATCACAGCATCACCATGATCACTTGATCAGTATTAAGGTGCTTGGCAACTGGCATGCATTTATGATGGTTGCAATATCCCACAATCATGTGATTGCCACTTGTGACCTCTCCAGCTGACTTCTGACAAAAGTCAATGGGGGAAGCTGGATTCCGTTAACAACTGTATTGATTTCCTTAACAACTGTGGCCAAAAAGGACATATAATCAGGTAAAACTCACTTAACAACCACCTTGCTTAGCAACAAAATTGTGATCTCAGTTTTGGTCATAAGTTGAGGACTACCTGTATTATAAAAATATAACATTTGCCATTTTGTTGTTTCATTAGGACTAGTTAAAGTTGTAGAAGCTGCTATTGCAAAACAAACAAACCATTAATATACAAGGGACTTGCTAGATTGTAGTGATAATCTGGAGGCTGTTGTCACAATTACCGGTATTTGAATAATAGGCAGCATGCATAGCATAGAACATATGTTCTGCCTTGATTGATCTGCACTTGTATCATAACATAAATCAATTTATAAAAAAAAACTTTCATTAAAAGTAAAACAGGTAACATAAAGCCACCTTTTAAATGTATTACGAATTTCCAAATTTTGAAATAATTTGGAGCTATTTTATAAGTCTGTTTAAGATCAGAGATGGTCATAAGTTCCATGTGTCTCAGTCCTGAATTCATCTGGACACACTATTTTTTTAAAAAAGGGATATATGAATTTCCAACTAAATTCTGGTATGATACACATTGTTTAATTTTTAAATTAGGTTATGAATATTGCATAAGTAAGCTTCCACGTAACCCACATCAAGAAGAAGTAATAGAAGGAAAGCAGAAGTATGCGTACTTAAGAGATGGAGATGTTTTAAATACAGAGGGAGCTACTCTCAGGTAAACGTTAACATTTCATATTGATATTGTTTGCAAGTTTTTCATGTACAAGATTTTTTTTCAGTTCATTTGCAGATTTTATCATTTCAGAACTAAAGAAGCTTGTGTGATCTGTTCAGATAGATTATATGTTTTGTGTAGCCTTTAATGAATACAGTATGGGGGTGTGATGACTCAGCTGACAGACTGGGTTAGAGACCTGAGCGCCACACAAAGGGGTGACCTCCCATTATCTGCCCCAGCTCCTGCCCATCTATCAGTTCAAAAGCATGCAAATTCGAGTAGATAAATAGGTATCATCTAGGTGGGAAGGTAGCAGCATTCAATGAGCCTTGGCGTGTTCATGATGGCCACACGACCACATCTTCAGACAATGGTGGCTCCCTTTTAGGAAATGGAGATGAGCATTGCCTCGTAGAGTAGGAACAGGGGAAACTTTTACCTTTAATGGACAGGGGAGACCTTTACCTTTAATGCCCGTAGTACACATATTTATCTCTGTACCAAGTCACACAAATATGAATATTTAGAAAGTGTGTTAACTACATTTATTTGTTTCCTTTGGGTCTGTTGTCTTCCTATCAATTCTGTGGCATCATAAACTTTGGTATAAATATTTGTCATGTACAGTAGATGAGTTTTGCACAACTGAGGGTTATACATTCACTATAACCATTCCTTTACATATCAGAAGTAATCATACGATACAGATCGTGTGATCTTGATTAGACTGCCCTCATGTGCTTGAAGATATCTGCCTAGTTCAGACTGTTGACAAAGGCTTCTTATAGGCAAATTTGACTATTCTTCCAAGAGTTACTGGTTCCTGATATTTTCTGCACAACATTCTAAAGAAATTTCTTCAAATCCTAAGTAAGTTGGGTTTCCCTATATGTGTATGCTCAGGTCTCAATATCTTTAAGTGATGCTCTTTCCTCAGTGCAATTAGTCCTTGACTTACAACCACAATTGAACCCAAAATTTCTATTGCCAAGTGAGACACTTGTTGAGTTTTACCCCATTTTATGTTTTTTGCCACGGTTGTTAAATGAATCACTGCAGTTGTTAAGTTAGTAACAGGGTTGTTAAGTGAATGTGGCTTCCTCATTGACTTTACTTGTTAAAAGGTAGCAAAAAGTGGTCACATTACCCCAGGACAGTGCAACTGTTATAAATATGAGTCAGTTGCCATGCGTCTGAATTTTGATCACATGATCACGGGGGATGCTGCAATGTTTGGAACTGTGAAAAATGGTCATAAGTCACTTTTTTCAGTGCTATTGTAACTCCGAGCAATCACTAAATGAACTGTTGTAAGTGAAGGTCTACCTCTATACATGGTAAGGCTACACCTGTATTTTTGGTGAATGGCAATTTGCATAAAATTATTCCTGGTTGATTCTTTGGAATGACTTTATCTGCCTTGTGAGACCTTAGGTTTCTTTAGGAAATTTATCTTAAGCTATAGGTAGTTAAAACTTGTCCTTATTTTAAAAATACTTTTACAAAGAAAAAATTGTTCATAGCTCTGCTTCCACACAATATAAGGATCATTCATTTAAATTTTGTATCTGAGATTTTTAAATGTATCTTCATTTGCCACTGTAAGAACTTTCTTCAATTTATGACTTGAATAGTATAATCACATTTAACTTTTCTGTCACTTTGCAGGGTATTATATACCCCAGGGCATACAGATGACCACATGGCTTTACATTTGCTAGAAGAAAATGCAATATTTTCTGGTGACTGTATTTTAGGAGAAGGAACAGCTGTNTTTAAGGGCTGTCAGATATGGAAATGAAACCATATCCATCTGGGTGGGTAATTTGAATACCATCCAGATGTTTCTGAATTCAGTTTAAATCTTTGTCTTCAAGAGGAATGTGTAGCTTTTGTAGCTCAGATCTAATAGTCCCAATTTTAGCTAGGAATTCTGTGTCAAATGCTAGGCTGCCTCATTATGGCTCTCTCTCACTCTCTGTCTCTCTCTCTCTGTGTGTGTGTGTGTGTTAATGCTGCAAGAAATGAATGAAAAATACTGGGAGCATATATATACCAAAATAATATGATCTCACAGGGTCACCTAAGGTGTGAAGGTCAGCCCAGCTGCCCAGCTAAAGCAAACTGGCACCTTTATTGACCAGCAGCAACACAGGAAGATGCTGGGCATCGCTTTGCTAACAATACCGAAGGCATCATTTCATATGGCACAGGAGAGGGTAATAGGGCAAACCACTTCTATTTTACTAGGTAAACCATACAGATATAAACTATAAAGTGATTGTTGATATTGCGCAAATAATTATCTCCTCTAAGTACATTTGCATAGTATCTTATGGGGAACATATATTTATTTAGCCAGAAGACTAGCTGACTACAATTAAAATTTTATTCAACCATAATATTACAGGATAGATAGTGTAGGATATTTATAGTTTCTTATAAACACGTATTTTAGAAACAAACTTCTCCTATGGGTAAAGAATGATTTGCTAAAAGCGCTTCCCTTTTCTCTTCTACGTACTGGCTCTGCTTCTCAGGCTTGCCCTTCTCTCCCCCGCTGGTCTGTGAAGCGCCTTCCCTGGATTCCCTATTTCTGTGCAGGTTCTGCCCATTTTGCTCTTAAGGAAGTATCTAGTTAACTCTTTCATTACATTCTACACTTATAGCAATCTTTCGTTTCTTTACCTAGTTGGGCCTAAGAAAACCAACAAAGTCTCCAAAAGTTGTCACTCTACACCAGGGGTAGTCAACCTTGGCTCTTTTATGACTCGTGGACTTCAACTCCCAGAATTCCTGAGCCAGCACAGCTGGCTCAGGAATTCTGGGAGTTGAAGTCCACGAGTCATAAAAGAGCCAAGGTTGACTACCCCTGCTCTACTCTTTGTCTTATCTCTATGTTCTTTGCTCTCGCTTTCGCTCTCTCTCTCTCGGCCCGTCTTGTCTGGCTGGCCGCGAAGGCGGTTGCGAAGATGTTCTCCGTGCTGCCCAAAGTGGAGAAGCTGTCGGCACGGGTGATCCGTGTCCTGGGCTGTAACCCCGGGCCTATGACGCTGCAGGGGACCAACACCTACTTGGTGGGAACCGGGCCCAGGTAGGTGGGAAGCTGCTCGGGCGAGGGACAGACGCGGCGGCCGGTGTAGTCTCTCTGGGATCTGCTGGGCAACGCGCTTCCTTGGCGTGAGTTTTCCCTTCCCTTTAGCAAAGCCAGGCTCGAAGGCTACCCGGAAATTCGTATTTTGACACCCCCCCTGCTTTTCACGCGCTGCTCTGAGTATTATTAATTCATACGATTTCTCTTTATTGTACAAGCAGTATTGTGACGAAAGAAGGCGGGGCCTAGAGGAAATAACAAACATTTTTTTTATATATCTTCACACACACACACACCCCAAAAAAATCCATAAACATTTGAGGGCAGAGGAAACATAGCTAACCGGATTATTATATGTATGCGCTTAAAGTCGCCTTTAGACCAGATGGACGGCACACAGATCTAGTAAATAAATAAATGTAAAAGCCGTTGATGCAACCTAGCAGTTTTGCAATGCGACCTTCTCTATTCAGAAATCCTTTTTTAAGTCCAGGGTCTTAGTCACCTAGAAGTGCAGGCTTAGGACTCTTCCATTGCTGTATTAAAGTGCTGTTCTCTGGTCATTAAGCTCACAGAAATTTGCAAACATCTGTTCTGCTTCATTGACAAAACCTCTAAGGCAGTGGTTCTCAACCTTTTTAATGCCGCGACCCCCAACCGGTCATAAGTCGAGGACTAAACCGGTCGTAAGTCGAGGACTAAACCGGTCGTAAGTCGAGGACTATCCAACCGGTCGTAAGTTGAGGACTTTCCCTGCCCGGGAGCGCCGCGCATGCGTGGTTCCGCCCCCTGCGCCAGCCGAGGCATAGCTGGCAAGCGGCAGAGACGGAGCAGGCCGACCACCAGCTGGCCCAGCCCAAGGGAGGTAAAGCACCCGCCGGAAAAGGGGAAAAAAAATGGCGGACAGCCTTGCTTGGCGACCCCCGTGAAATGGTCGATCGACCCCAAATGGGGTTGCGACCCATAGGTTGAGAACCGCTGCTCTAAGGCTTAGCTGTGCTGTTTGCAGGACGAGTTAAGAAAAACACTCTACCTTTCCCTTCCCATAGAGTAACGTTTCTCAAAGTTGACAACTTTTAAGATTTGTGGGCCAGCTTTGTTATCAGGGCTTTTTTTCAGCCGGAACGCGGCGGAACCGCGTTCCGGCACCTTTTTCCGGGCCGGCCGCACCGGAAATAGCCCCTCCCACACCGGAAATAGCCCCTCCCAAATTTTACTTGCATTCCTGTTCTCTAAAGGGGCGGTCCTAGGGTTTGATGAGGGCGTGGCCAGGTTTGAGTTCCGCCACCTTTTCTCCGAGAAAAAAAGCCCTGTTTGTTATAAACATGTTTGTATTGTTTTTAATCACTTTTGTTTTGCTATTCCCTTTCCCTTTTCCCCTTGTTGTTAGTTGATGTTTAATATTTGACTTTGAAATGTAATAACTATTATTCTATTTACTGGACAAGTAAGGGCAGATTCTTTTAGTCACCTGTCAAGTTCCTCAACTAAGAGATTGCAGGCACAGAAAAGCTGCACATCTTTGATCAGTCAGTTGGGCTGACTCTTGAAATGGTGCTTTACCATGTCAGCAAATACCATGGTTCACAGATTACCGATGTAGAAGAGAAGTCATGTTTAGAAATACCCGAAGTGACGGTTCAAGATAGGGAGAAGGGGTTATGAAGTGCATGGGGGGGGCACTTCACTCCACACACCTCCTATTCCACATTCATTGGAGGAATGGAATAAAACGAGAAGGAATAATTAATAACATGCGAGCTTCATCTTAAATTACAGGTAGTCTTCGATTTACAACCATTCATTTAATGACCATTTTAAGTTACAACAGCATTGAAAAAAGTGACTTGTGACTGTTTTTCACACTAACAACCATTGTCACATCACTGTGGTCATGTGATCAAAATTCAGATGCTTGGCAACTGGTTCATATTTATGACAGCAATCTCAGGCACAAATGCCATTTAAAAACAGCTAGACATCATGATGCAGTTAGAGAGATCTGGCAATGATTGCTATCTAGGGCATGTGTCTGGTTCTTCTACACAGCTCTGTCTTGAATCTTGATTATTACAGTTTAGTTCTCCTCTTAGGCAATATAAGTTTTACTTGGAATCTCGTTTAGCTTGTCACTTTTTCTTTTGCTCTTGGCAAAAGATTTTTCCCCTTCTGTGGACAAATTTCTCTTTATTACATTTTTATTGGATCATCTTTGATCCATTTTATTATAAAGTACCGTTTCTTTTGTTCACCTAATTACATTTCTGCTCCAGTGGATTTTTTTTCACCATTATTTCTCTTCTCATAGGCCTATTAGCTGTGTAGTACAGTATTATGAAATTAAAAGAGACTCCTTTGCAACAGCATCCCGCTTGAGATGTGCATGGCTCCAAGCTTTATTGTGTTTAGAAAGGCAATGGAATCTCGCTCTTCCAGCATACTTTAAAAGCAGTACTTAAATATTTTTCTTTTGGGTATTTGAACAAGTGTACTTATTTTTCCTCGCTGTCAAGTGACTCTGGGTGGCTATTGTAAATTTTTTATATAAAATAACGTATGTAAGCTGCTCAGAGACAACTGAAAAGGCATATATGACCAGTTTGATTTATTGGTTTATTGATTTGCATCTTATATAATTTTCTTTAGGATTCCAAATTACACAAAAGGAATGGGATATAGAAATAGAACTAGAATGATAGGGTTGGACGGGACTTCGGAGGTCTTCTAGTCCAGCACCCTGCTCAAGGCAGGAGTTTTATACTATCTCAGGCAAATGGTTGTCCAAGCAATTTTTTAAAACCTCCAGTGATGGAGCATCCACACCCCCAGGAAGCAAGCTGTTCCATTGAAGAATTGTTCTTATATTTCTTTTCATGACACATTACACTTTTTTAGGTTGTTAGCATCATTTTTTTTATTAATTAGCTCTTTCTTGGCCTAATCTGGTTTTATTATAGAAGGATCCTAATAGATACCGGAGAGCCACGTATCCCTGAATATATAAGCTGTTTGAAACAAACACTTCATGAATTCAACATTTCCATCCAGGAAATTTTAGTAACTCATTGGCACCATGATCATACTGGAGGCATATCAGATATTTGTGAAAAGATTCCAGCTGGTAAGTATTTTCTGTAGTTTTTAAAATTTGTATGCTTTATGTACAAAGCAGGTTAGAGTTATATTGAAAAAGTTATATAGTAGATAGACAAAGGATGTTAGAAACATTGCACTTAAATGCTTGTTAACAGACACGGTGGGAAATAATTAAATTTGAGAAACAGCTTCTGACAGAACTTTGCCAAGCACCAATTGTAAGTATACTTAGCCAAAATTAAAGGTAGCAAAAATCAGGTACAGATAATCCTCAACAACCATTTGTTTAGCAACCATCCAAAATTATGAGCACTGAAAAAGTGACTTGCAACCGGTCTTCGTACTTATAACTATCACAGCATCACCATGATCACTTGATCAGTATTAAGGTGCTTGGCAACTGGCATGCATTTATGATGGTTGCAACATCCCACAATTATGTGATTGCCACTTGTGACCTCTCCAGCTGACTTCTGACAAAAGTCAATGGGGGAAGCTGGATTCCGTTAACAACTGTATTGATTTCCTTAACAACTGTGGCCAAAAAGGACATATAATCAGGTAAAACTCACTTAACAACCACCTTGCTTAGCAACAAAATTGTGATCTCA